TCACAGCAGCCCAGCTCCAGGTTGAGCTGTTGTTCAGCATCTTAGCTGTAGAGGGCAGTGTCACTGGCCCTCATATGTGGGATCCGAAACGGGGCCCCCTGGTGTCCCAAGCCAGTTCTTAACCAACGCACCACTCGGCCAGCCCAGGATGTGTGTCTTTTAAAAAGGGAGGGCAGGGGCACGTTGGTTAAGAACTGGCTTGGGACGCCAGCTCTAAGCAGCAGGGCCCCAGTTTGGATCCCACATGAGGGCCAGTGACACTGCCCTCACAGCTAAGATGGTGATCAACAGCTCGACCTGGAGCTGGGCTGCCGTGAGGCGACGGCGTAGGCTGCAGCCCCTGCTGCAGTGGGCTGCCATAAGCTACTGTGTGTGGCCGGCAGCCAGCGTGAGTGGCCTGACAGCCAGCGTGAGCTGCCAAGAGCTGCCCTGAATGGCTGTCCAGAGGTGGGCGACCGGTCTGCCTCACCCAGGAATTGCTCAATGATAATACCAACGTGTGCCAGTGAAGCGATGTCTTCCACAACTAGACTGAAGAACAAAAGGACAGCAACTTGTCTGTTCCCCTTCCCCGACTCCCCAGTGCTGTTCCCCTCCCCCAATTCCCCAATTTAAAAACAAAAACAAAAACAAAAAAACGGGAGAGCGTTTGTTTTGTAACCTAAATATTCTTTGATACTACTCATTAACTCTTGTCTTGAGAAGGACCAAATGTGCCTGATGGTAGCTGACATGCTGGATTATGTTCCTGTGAATAAAGACCTTCGGCTCACTGCGGGGACCGGACACAAGTTACGACTTGCCTATTCCTCTAACATGGGGCTCTACCTGGGGATATACATGCACGCACCAAAGCGAGGACAGGTATGCAACACATGACACGTGTCAAGTTACTCTGTGTAATGGTGTGGGGAAGTAGCTGCAGACTCACGGGGTTCATTTCAGCTTTCACACCAACCTAGACGTCTCATGTACTGTTTCCACTGAGATAGCGGGTTTTGTGCTAATCTGTGAATTAAAAGGTCTTGAAGGAGAAGTCAGGGTGAAAGGGAGTAGAGTTGAAAGGAATATGAAAGGAAAAGTTAACCAAAACCAAACAAGAAAGAGCACATATAGAAGCCTATGAAAAAATGGAGTTATGAAAGGGATGTGGGTGTTAAGTGGTTGAGGAGAAGTTAATTTTTAGAAGTAGTTTTGCTTGTCATCCAAATATTAGCTGTTGTACGTAGATGAATATTTACCTTGTAATAAATGGTATAATCATATAATAGCAGCCATTTGTTGGGCGTTTGGCACAGTGCCAGGCCCTTCATGTATATTAATAGCCAACGCTGGGAATGTGCTTATCTGAACTCCCAGTTTACATGGTACCCATTTAATCTTAACGACATTCCAGTGAGGCTTGTCCTCCTTGCCCTGCGGGAGCTCTGATTCCCACGCTGGCTGCTGCTCTGCCTTTATATGATAAAGGAGACAGATGAACAGCCAGATGAAAGGGTACACAGGGCAAGGTCCACAAAGGTGCTGAGTGCATGGGCTTCTGGCCGCCGGTGTTGGGGTGTGCCACCCTCCTGACACATGGATGTGTTCACCAACGTGGAAGCACTCCAAGTCCCGTACTTTAGTGATTTTTATGGAGGCTTCATCATGTAGGCGTGATCCATTATTAACGCAATCTCTAGCCTTTCTCCCTTCCCTGGGGGGTTGAAAGTTCCAAGCGTCTAATCCTGGCTTGGTCTTTCTGGTGACCAGCCCCCATCCTGAAGCTATCCAGGAGTCACCTCATACCCAAGGGATTTAAGGCCTCTGTGTCAAGAACTGGATCAAACGTTAAATATTAGAACAAAAGATGCTCTTAACACCCCTGTCACTCAGGAGATTGCAAGGTTTTATTTTAGATGCTCAGTGTCAGGAGCCAGGGGTAGAGACCTATATATATATTTCTTATTATTTCACAAATTCTAATAGAGATTTTGTTGGCTCTGTAGATCATATTGGAAAGTCTTACCATCTTAGCAGTATTAAGTCTTCTGGTCCATGAACATGGGATGCTTTTCTGTTCGTTTAGATTTTTAACTTTTTTTTTACAATGTTTTGTACTTTTCAGAGTATAACTTTCGCAGCTTTTTTGATCACTCTATTCCTAGGCATTTTATTCTTTTTGAAGCTATTGTAAATGAAATTATTTTCTTAATTTCATTTTTAGATTGCTCATTGCAAGTTTATAGAAATACAATTGATTTTTGTATATTGATCTTATATCCTACAACTTTACTGAACTCTTATTAGTTCTAACACTGTTATAGTGGAATCCTTACGACTTTCTACATACAAGATAGTGTAATTTGCAAATAAAATAGTTTTTCTTTCTTTCATTTTTTGTTTGTTTTTTTAGGGTTTTTTTTTTTTGCTTAATTGACCTGCGTAGATCCTCCAGTACAGTGTTGCAGTGGCAAGAGCTGACATTCTTAGTGTCTTAAATGGAAACACAGATGGCATGCTTATTACATGCCATCTAAGGGAGAAAACTTCCAGTGTTTCACCACTAAATATGATGTTATCCATGAATTTTTTTGTAAATGCCATTTATCGGATTGGGGAATTTCTCTCCATTCCTAATTTGTTGAGTGTTTTTATTATGGAAATGTATTCACTTTGGTGTGGTGGCCTTGATTCATGTTAAGACATCAGAAATTTTCCCCACCATTGCTTTCACATCATCAGTGCGAATATCAACACAGTGAAATAGGCAAATAATGTCATAGTAGTATTATGAAAGGAGTTTTGACCTCTCTGACCCCCTGAAACTGTCTCAAAGACCTCTGAGAGTCTACGGACCACATTTTGAGAACCACTGCTCTAAAAGTTAGATCTAGAATTGAATGTGGTATTCTAGGAGTGGTGTCAAATTGAGCACAGCTCTTCTCTCCTTTGTTTTGAGCATTATGGTTCTATCAGTGAAGCCAAAAACCCGATGAAATTTTTTTATAACACTCAGGCTTATTCAGATTGTAATGAACTTGCAGTCTTTTTTTTGTTCTTCACAAAAACTGCTCTTTGGCATGGTTTTTTCTCCCTTTTGTAGTGATTTGACATTGCCATAGACACCCCCATTCAAGGTTTCTATATTTTATCAAAGTAATCAGTCTACAGTGGATTGGAAATTTTAAAAAACCCACAAAAACTGGTCCTTTACCACAGGTGCTTTGAGAACCACTACTCTAGACCAGCTAGAATCTATAATTAGAAATATTTTGCATTGCTGCACATATGTGATGATGGACACATAACAGAAAAACATTTTCATGAGACACCTTTATTATGAATGATGAACTGATGAACTCTGATACTTTGTTTTGTTTTATTTTTAATGCTTGTTGAGACCTGCTGAATTGATTCATGTTCCACTGATGAGTTGAGATCCACAGATTGTAAAATGCAGCTCTAGGCTTAGGTGAATATGAACACTACATATATTTTTCATATTTCATACACTCCTATTTTTGTCTCAAACGGACTCTCCGTGCATATTTTTTTTAGTACTTCCTTGTGGACAATTGTTTATAAGGACAGAATTATTGTTAGTCTTTTATCAGTCTCAATCATTTTTGCTTTTATCAGTGAATTTCTTTATCAAAAAAATTACTTAAAATACCATCAAATATTATTTTGAGTTTGAAATTTTTGTTTTGGCAGTGGAGTTAAATACTAAACGCAAGTTATTTTACAGGGTTTTATTTTTAATAAAGATTAACCGACTAAGGTTGATTTGTATTGTGTGTATGTTTGAAATTGTCTTTGTACTTTGGTAAAAATATAAACTTAAAAATGGGTTTCTGACCACAATGAGATACCACCTCACACCCATTAGGATTGCTGCTATAAAAAAAATAAAAAATAACAAATGTTGGCAAGGATGTGGAGAAATTGGAGCCTTTAGCATTGCTGATGGGAATGGAAAATACTGCAGCCACTATGGAAAACAGTATGGCGATTCCTCAAAAATCAGTCATTAGAGTTAATTACCCTGTGATCCAGCTATTCCACTTTTGGGTGTATACCCAAAACAATTCAAAGCAGGGTCACAAAGAGATATTTGTACACCCACATTCATAGCACTATTCATAATATCTAAAAGTTGGAAGCAACCCAAGTGTTCATCAACAGATGAATAGATTAACAAAATAGGGTATATGCATAAAATGGAATATTATTCAGCCATAAAAAGGAATGAAGTTATGATACATGTTACAATATGGATGAACCTTGAGGGCATTATGTTAAGTGAAATAAGCCAATCACAAAAAGATAAATATTGTTATGATTCCATGTATATGAGGTGCCTAGAGTAGGAAAAGTCATAGAAACAGAAAGTAGAATGGTGGTTGCCAAGGGCTCGCAGGAGAGGGAATGGGAGTTGTTTAATGGGTACAGAGTTTCAGTTTTGTAAGATGAAAAAAGTTTTGGGGGTCAGTTGCACAATAATGTGAATGTACTTAACACCATTAAATTTTACACTTAAAAATGGTTAAGATAGGGACAGCCGAGTGGCTCAGTTGGTTAAGAGCTTGCTCAAGAGTGCGAGCTCTGAGCAACAAACAGGGTCGCCGGTTTGATTCCCAGCCGCTGAGCTGCCCACAGGTGGCAGGATGGCTCAGCTTAAAAAAAAAAAATGGTTAAGATGATAAATGTTATGTGTATTTGACCACACTTTTTAAAAAATTTTTTTCTATATGCTGATAACTCTTGTTTAGAAAAAGTAGCATGTTGATTATCTCAAGTAATAAATTATCAACTTGTGTATTAACAGTTCTGCGTTTTCCAAATGGTGAGCACTGAGAATAACCGCTACAGCCTGGATCACATTTCCTCCCTATTCACTTCTCAGGTAGGTTGGATCGTCCTTTGCATATTACACAAGTACAGGAAAGAAGTATTGGCTAACTCGACTATGTTGTAATGGGATTGAAATGTTAAAATGGAATATTTCCTGATGTATGCAAAGAAAATTTTATTTAGGTTTTAACAAGTTCGTGTGGTACTATCTTCTGTTTTCTTGCTTTTACCTCTGCTACTAATACAAATTTAAGTCATCATAAACTACTACCCTTTCTTATTTTAACCCCCTTTTTTCCTCCACATTTCCTCCTAGGAGACACTGATTGATTTTGCCTTAACCCCTACGGATATCTGGGCCCTGTGGCATGATGCTGAGAACCAAACAGTTGTGAAATACATCAACTTTGAACAGTATGGACCACTTACCTCTGTCATCCTACCTTACCCCAAGCTGTTTCATACTAAAAAACATGGGAGCTTTTTATGTAGAACCAAAGTCAAGTGTTTGCATTTAAAGAACTGAACCTTGCGTTTGCCTATTGTTAACTATTTTCTGAAATACCTTTTTTGGCATTTTGTGTTATTTCTTACCTTTTGGTTTTAAAACAAAAATGAGGATTTTTAGGGTTGGAAAATACCGTATTTCTTGGGAGAGATAGCACATATTCAAAATACTTCTTATCTGGGAAGTGTTTTTTTGCTTTTAAGCAAAGACTGTTTCTTTTTTTTTTTTTTTTTTAGCTGAGCCATCCTGCCACCTGTTGGCAGCTCACGGCTGCTCAGCTCGGGCTGACTCGACCGCTGTTGCTCAGAGCTCAAACTCTTGAGCGAGCTCTTAACCAACTGAGCCACTCAGCCGGCCCAAGCAAAGACTGTTTCTGATACACACAACTTCCAAAAGACACTGCAGCCTCTTTGGGTTCTCAGTTTACTCATAAGATGAGAAACAGATTGTACAAGTACAGTGCTTCTCAAACTTTTTTAAAAACAGGAAACCCTTTTCTTCAAAAGATAGTGTATTCCTATATAACAAAACTAGTATTTTTTATGAGTATAAAATTATAACACAATTTAATGTGTTGATAATTTATATTATTAGATATATTTGGTATCTGTTGTTTTTACTGCACATAGTATTAATTTGATTTTTTTTAAACAAAATACATTTTAAAGACCAATTTTGAGTTAAACACTTGTGTAATCCCTGAAACACCTGGGCAGGATTTCCTGGAACACAGCTTGATGTCCCTGGAACTAAACTAATTGAACCTTTGGTGGGGAAGGGGAAGGGTCTCTCATAACCCTGTATTCTAGAATGGAATTCTAGAAATAGCTGCCCCCAGATTGCCTGAGCAGCCCCACCTCAGAAAATAGAGTACTCGTGATAGATGGCATTCAAACAAAGTGGTAAAAAAGCAAATAATCTGTGAGATTATTAGATGAGAGTTTGAATCCTGGTTGTACAACTTACTAGATGTGAGATACCCTTAGCCTCAGTTTTCCACATCAGCAAAATGGGGTTAATACATTCTTCAAAGTTATAAGGCATACGCGAGTAATATCTAGAACTGCACCTAGTGTAATGTCTAGCGTATAGTAAATGCACATACATATAGTAAAAAATTAGCTATTATTATTTGTAGACTTGTGTTTAGAGTTTTAACTTCAGGAAGGTAACTGTTAAAACTGGTAAGAGTACTTCTATAAAACCAGACTCTGGTAAGAATAAGTTTCTTTTTTCTGAAACATTTTTAATAAAACTGATCAAGCAGTAATTGCAGAGGTTCAGTGGTGGGGCCTTCCCTGCCCAGACACTGCCAACAGCATAAGCTTTGTTGTTATTTGTCATTTTTATGTAGGCTTATGGACTTTTTTTCTCTGCAGTAATGTTGCAGGTCAGTGGAATCCCGTTTTTATGCAGCCACTGCCAGAAGAAGAGATCATTATCAGAAACGATCAAGAGCCCAGAGTAAGCAATGCTAAGACTTATATAAAGGGATGATTTACCCTGATCATTAGTTTGAGAAGAACCAGTTGTATTAGAACTCCTTCAGTTGCAGATGGAAGAAACCCCTCAAACTGACTTAAGCTTCAAAGGAGAACATATTGGCTTGTGCAGCTGAGAAGTCCACAGTTAACCTGGCTTCAGCCATGGCTGGAACAGTGCTTTCAGGCTTGATCTCTCCTTTGTCTCTATCCTGCTTTCCTGTTCGTTGGGTTTTTTCTCAGGCAGGTTTCCTGAGCCTGTGCATCCTGTGAAGGAAGCGCCCCCAGAGGAAAGAGAGCACCTCTGTCGCTGGTCCTGGAATAGACATTCACTGGCCTGGCTTGAGCCATGTGCATCAATCAGTCTCCTGACACAGTCACTTTGATCAGGAGGAATAGAATATTCTGGCTTGTCATGAGAAACATGTCCAACAGAGACCTTGCTACTGTGGAGGGTGGTGAAGTCAGTTGAGTATGGATAGTGGAGGAATGGTTTCCCAGAGAAAGATAAGGAATTTGTTAGTAAAAGAAGGGCAGCCAGATTCTGGGCAGGCACAAACCCTAGCTGTCCACTATACTAACCATGTTACGAACGAGAAATAAGATAAATTCTGACAGGTATATATATATATATATATATATATATATATATATATANACTATGAAGAAAATAACTTTAAACGGTAATGCAGTGGAGAGCAGAACACTCCAGTCTGTCTTTTCCAAGATGCCCTCAGGATAAATGGAAGATAAGGCTTTCAGTTTGTGCCTTATTGTTAAAATGAGTTTAAAATTTACAGGCTCTGGGCCTGAAACAGTGACTATTTGTAGGATTGGAAAACCCCCTTTAAATTGAATATTGCTATGTTTTTAATCCCAAGAGTTTATTGGCTCTTGACTTTTGTCTAAAAGCCAAAATTATATGCTAATTCTTAAAATCCTTGTTTTTCTCCTTCATTTTGGTTATTTTATTCCCTAGAACCTCAGTAGAAGGAAGGAAACTTGAATGAAGGTCAATCAGGCTTGCTACTTACTGGCAAATCTGGTTTATGAAATTTGGTCAAAATAATTAGGCAATGTGAGGTTATCCATTTTATTCTCTCTACTTTATTTCCCCACTTGTGAGAGTTTGTGCAGTTTTCTCTTTGTTTTTACATATAATGCCTATTATTCTTGGTTCATTTTCTTTAATATGTGAACCATAAAATGAGTACTTTGTGAATGGTGTCAAAACCAGTTTAATTGTTCTCTTACCAGTGCATACCGCCAATTCGCCTGTTCCGTTTAAGATTGTGTTGACGGAAAAATCATCCAAACCTGTTCAGAATTTTAGTGAGAGTTTATTTGAGCCAAATTGACGACACATGCCAGGGAGCAAGATCTCAAATGCTCCCCAGAATAACAGTTTTGCAGCTTCTTTTATGCATTTGAGATTGAGGAGGGAACATAAGGAAAATTGCATGGAGGTGAGAGAAAGTAAGTCAGGGATTGTTAACAAGATTATGTGCTCCTTTGTAGGTGGTTACAGTTTATTTCAAAAGTTTGTTAACCTAGATGCACAGAAACCGTGGATAGGCCTGGCTTAAGGCAAAGAGCAACCTTTAACTAAAGTTATAGGCCTGGGGCGTGACTATCCACCATGACCTGCCCAGTTAGGAATTTATGACCAGATCTCCCTGTGAGGTTACTTTCCCCTTTTTTCATCCTCAAGTGGCATTTGACAAGCTGTGTTTTCCAATATAACCCAATGAGGCGTTCCCTGAGGAGCACATCATTTCCCGAATAGTACGTCCAGTTGACTCAAAGACACTGCCATCTTCACCCTTCAGTGTGAAAATACAGCACTGCTCTACTACTCGTCATTGCTCAACTCTTAGAAGGGCCAGAATTCCATGTTCATATATTAGAAACTCAGCGCTGATCCTAATGTGTTGAATTCTTCAAATTTTTCCAATTTTTATCTTTTTAGAGTGATATTTTTTGTTTTAATGTTCTAACAGGAGATGTATTTGCAGAGTCTGTTTACACCAGGACGATTCATAAATGCAGCTTTATGTAAAGCTTTACAGGTTAGTGAGAAAATATTTAATGTTTATTTAAGATTCTTACTATTATTGTATAATTAACAATTATTCATTTTTTTATTGTTTGGCATATACTAAACACTGAACGTATTTTTTGTTTTGTTTTGTTTTGTTTTTGCTGAGCCATCCTGCCACCTGTTGGCAGCTCAGCTCGGGCCAGGACTTGAACCGCTGTTGCTCAGAACTCTCACTCTTTTTTTTTTTTTTTAAGATTTTT